CACGTTTCGTTTGTTGTTTTGTCGTGTGTTTAGTCGTTAATAAATATGAATGCATATCACGCTGCGCCTCGGTCCTTCTCGTTCATGAACGATCGTGACAGAAGATCCCAACAATCCTGGATCAAGCAGCGTGACAAGGAGAGAGGATGGACTTGGGAGGAGATGAGCGAGAGTCTGGCAAGAGGGATGGAGGCCATGATCACGGGGGAGAGACAATCCCCAAAAAATTTTAGGGGGGGAGGCTCACGCCGTGGACGACGAGGCAGCAGGAGGCCGCGATAGAGCGGTTCAGCTGTTTAGCAGAGGAGGCCGCCAGATTAGGGAGGTCATTGGTTCAGAGGGAGCAGAAGGAAAGTGTAGAGGCACGGCGAGAGGAGCTGGTTAGGCACCAATCAAGTGGTGCGTGTCGCCAGTCCGGTCCGGCCCGTTCCTGATTCCCGCACTAAGCCAGTGGTGGGTGTTCCCAGTACGGTTCGGCCCGTTCCTGCTCCTCGCACCAAGTCAGTGGTGCGCGTCGCCAGCCCGGTCCGACCTGTTCCTCTCCCTCGCACCAAGCCAGTGGTGCGCGTCATCAGCCCAGTCCGGCCCGTTCCTGCTCCCCGCACCAGGCCAGTGGTGCGCGTCGCCAGTCCGATATGGCCCGTTCCTGCTCCCTGCACCAAGGCAGTGGTGCGAATCGTCAGCCCAGTCCGGCCCGTTCCTGCTCCCCGCACCAAGCCTGTGGTGCGTGTGTCCAGTCCGGCACGGCCCGTGCCTGTTCCACCGGTGCCAGGTCCGGCACCGGTCAGCTGCTCCACTCCGGAGCCAGAGCAATCCGCTCCAACGGGGTCTAGTCCAGCTCCGGTCAGCGGCTCCACTCCGGAGCCAGAGCAGTCCGCTCCACCGGTACCTGATCCAGTTCCGGTCAGCGGCTCCACCCCGGAGCCAGAGCAGTTCGATCCACCGTCGTCGGGTCCAGCTCCAGTCAGCGGGTCCAGTCCAGACCCAGACGTCAGCTCCTCTCCAGGTTCGGGGTCTCCCACACCAGGGTCCAGACAGGGCTTGGTACTACCCTGTTATGTTTATGTGGCGCGGTCGGAGTCCGCACCTTTGGGGGGGGGTACTGTCACGCCCTGACTCAAGGGACGTTTATTTGTTGAGTCAGGATGTGTATGTTCCGTGTAAGGTATGTTGTTTGTATGCTACCTTGGACTTCACGTTTCGTTTGTTGTTTTGTTGTGTGTTTAGTCGTTAATAAATATGAATGCATATCACGCTGCGCCTTGGTCCTTCTCGTTCATGAACGATCGTGACAGTCTCTCACTGTTCAAATAAACCTACCATTAAAATTATAGACTGATTATGTCTTTGTCAGTGGGCAAATGTACAAAATCAGCAGGGGATCAAATACTTTTTTCCCTCACTGTATTTATTTTAGCAACAGATTTACTAGCCTATGTCAGAGCACCTATTTCAGCCACACCCACGTGACTTAAACTGTGACTTTAACTGACTTCAACTCTGATTCAAACTGTGACTTAAAACTTAAAACTGGCTTAAACTCTGATTCAAAATGTGACAAATCTGTGACTCAAACTCTGACTTACTAAGTCACACCAACGTGTTGCCTTTAAACAAAACTCTGCTGGCTGCTTTTGCTCAGCACGTTTAAATCTGTTGTTTGAATCTTTAATGCCCACCCAGCGCACTGTTATGTAACACGTCGCTGTAGGGATGTGTTCAGCATCAAACATACACACACATACGTACACACACACACACATACTCAGACACACAAACACACTTATTTTACAGCTACATCATTACTTATTTACACTATAGCTGGGAGTGGATGGGATAGAACTGGAAGGCTGGAGGCTTTCTTTTTGTTATGCATCCCTGGGCTCTAGCGATGTCCTGTTGTGTCCAGCGCAGTGTTAATTTCGTGAACAAACATTGTGACTAAAATATTCGTCAAACACCTATTTTTCAGTGGCGAGACTACAACTGACTAATTAGACCCCCAGAAAAAATTATAACTAAACAAAAAATATTTTTCATTTTAGTTGACTTAATTATCTCTGTGACTAAAATGGAACTACTAAGTGGACTGAACAAGAGTTTTTGGAGAGATGATTTCAGTGATAAGCACAATAAATATTAGCAACACAGATGTGCAGAACACTTTGGTTCAGCAGTGGTAAGGACACCCCACACCCGGCAAACACAGCCTGCATCAGCTGGTGAGCTGCGGTGGAGCAAGCGATGAGTGTGGGCAGACATGCTTCGCTCTGGCTCCGCCTCCGATTATACACATTGCACAGGCGACTTTCTTGCTTCACGTTAGCTAATCAGTCACCACCAGCCTTCTAGTTAGCTACCTTTTGCCTGATTAAGAAACACAAGCTGCTTTACAAAATTAAAAACAATAGCAGCATTGAGTTTAGTAGTAAAACAACAATCTAGCTATGTTTTTCTCTTCCTTGAGTAGGCTATAGAAAAGTAGCAGTCTGAATTTGTAATCTCGCTAAACCCTCCCACTTTCCCCACTGCATTTCCTATATAGGTTCTGTAGCCAACGTAGCCAAGTCTCCCTCTTTTCCTCAGAGAAAATGGCTTAATCTAGCCATTCATCTAGACCCATAATACCAGCGCTACGTTTCTATTCTTTCTATCGTGCATTGGTGGGCTGCATTTTACATTCATGAAGCATATTGCAGGCCGTTCTAAAACTAGGGTACTTGCGGACCAGAACATTAAAAAAAAAATGTAGGCTACACCTTGTTCAGTTATGTTACCTCATTAGCTAGCTATTGCTAACAATCTGGGGAGCGTTCAGCAGGACGCAATGTTTTGGAGCAAACATGCCTCTCTGACATGTTGAATAAGGAATAACGTTGGCTCTATTCATGGAATTTCTATGAATGATTTTCAACTGAACGTGGCCATGGTAACAATACCAGTAGTCTATATGCAAACATTTGGTGGCACAGAAAGACAGGAAAAGGGATAGCAAACAATTTATTGATTAAATTCCTCTGGCCACTGCACTATATCTGACTGGGTAAATCACTTTATTTTGAGTTAATGTGGACTCAGTCACTCAGACTTGAGCACTTGGACCAGGACTCTAGCACTGGGACTCGGACAAAAGCCATAGGGACTCGTGACTCGACCATTGGTGAGTCAGACTTGGGCTTGGACTCGATTTGAGGTTTAGTGACTCGACTACAGCACTGGGCGAAACAGTCATTAGCTCCCGTTCAAAGTCATTAGCCCCCGTTCTGCTTACATTTTAGTCATTTAGCAGACACTCTTATCCAGAGCAACTTACAGTTAGTGAGTGCATACATTATTTTTTATTATTTAATTTTTTTCATACCCCCCGTGGGAATCAAACCCACAACCCTGGCATTGCAAACACCATGCTCTACCAACTGAGCTACATCCCTGCCGGCCATTCCCTCCCCTACCCTAGACGACGCTGGGCCAATTGTGCACCGCCCCATGGGTCTCCCGGTCACGGCCAGGCTACGACAGAGCCTGGATTCGAACCAGGATCTCTAGTGGCACAGCTAGCACGACAATGCCTTAGACCACTGCACCACTCGGGACTTTGGACTCCAATGTGGCTGCGGCGTCTGTGGAATATTGATAACAATGACAACGACGCGACCGAGTGACGGAGGTGGAACTCATACTACTTTACCAATACTTTATGACACCATCTGGAGATTGTGGTTCTCTCTCTCTCTCTCTCTCTCTCTCTCTCTCTCTCTCTCTCTCTCTCTCTCTCTCTCTCTCTCCTCTCTCCTCTCTCTCTCTCTCTCCTCTCTCCTCTCTCTCTCTCTTCCCTCTCTCTCTCCCTCTCTCTCTGCTTGTGTCTGTTTGTTTTGTATGTAATGTGTAATATCTATTTAGGCTGTATTAGGAATTTACATGACCAGGTAATTCTTCTATAATATTATTCTTATATATGTTTGTCATATGTCTGCTGTTGGGAAGAGAATAGGATGTTATGCAGAACAATCTGTTGGTAGGACAAGGCTATGTATGTTTGTTCACATGGAAGTCAGTGATTTATGTTTACTATAGGTTAATGAGGCAATACAAATGTGATTTGACTCAAATGAAAGAGCATTTAGTTGACTAAAATGGCCCACTATTTTCGTCATTTTGACAATAACTAGACTAAATCATTATTTAAATGACAAAAATGTGACTTAATTATGTTTTTGTGAAAATTACTAAGACTAGACTAAATCTAAAAAAAAGAGTGCCAAAATTGACACTGGTTATAGCATCAAACACACACACACACACCACACACACACACACACACACACACACACACACACACACACACACACACACACACACACACACACACACACACACACACACACACACACACACACACACACACATACACACACACACACACACACATACACACACACACACACACACACGTGTCGTTAGCGATTCACCACCTCCCCTGCTAGGATCGGTTCCTGCCAGTGCTGTGACACATTCTGTTTTCCCATCACTTTAGTTTTTATCCTGTTATAGAAAAGTTTGTTTCCTGGCCTGAAAATGCGGAAAAAATCTCTCATTTAACAAGGCAGTATTGCTATTGAGTTTATTTTCGTCTTAGCATACGGGGATTGAGTTGTGAACTCCTAACAGTTATTCAGTGGCTATGGGTAGAAATGTGACTCTTCGGTGTCCTGGGGTCTCATACAGAACTCAAATCTCTCTGCATCAAAACTAAGTGGTTTAATCATAACATTAGTGCAAGGAAAATAATGGCTTATGACAGAAGTGAGAAGTCTGTTGCGTTAATAATTGTAACCGTTTGTGATCTTCTGTCCTTGGGAATGGAGAGGTAGAAGGGATGGATGTTATAAGCATGCACACAGTCATAAACACACCGTCCCTCCTCACCATACTGAATTACATTAGGAAAACGGCAATATACTGGCGCTGTTAAGAAAAACAAACCGTGCTATAATAACATCATGGAGACCGTCAGACGCCCCATGAGCCGCTCCACTCTGTGAGTGACTCACTCAAATCAGATGTGACGCATACACAGACGTGTGGTGACTCATCAAACAACGAGCAGCGTTGAAGATAAACTGTTCAGCTCCCAGATCAGTTTTACTTCACATCAAAGGACAGACACACAGCATGGTTGAAGATAACCTATTCAGCGCCCAGATCAGTTTCAGCAAGGTTGACGTGACCTGCTAGAACTACAGCAGTACTGTAACCATGGAGTTATTTTAGCTTATGGACATGATGTTAATGCAAGATTTACAGGAAACAATGGATGTACTAGCTGTTTGTTTTCCCTGTTTGCACTTAGTCTGTCCTTCATTCACCCATAGAATATGAATGAGGATGCCTCTAAACATTGAAACAGAGGCTGACATTTCTTCACCCCGTTGGTAGGATTGAGGGTTGGTTAATCTGATCCAAGATCTTAGGAGGAAATTGTACCCCAACAGTCATCCACATTATCACATTGAATGTGGGAAGTGCTCTCTACAAATGTATTATTATTATTACTGTTATGATTAATGTTATTATTATTATTATTATTATTATTATTATTATTATTATTATTATTATTACTGTTATTATTATTACGGTTGTTATTATTATTATTAGTTATTATTATTATTACTGTTATTATTACTGTTACTGTTAATATTACTGTTATTATTATTACTGTTATTATTATTACTGTTATTATTATTATCATCGTCAGATCCAACCCTTTATTTCCCTTTGGTCCACCACCACCTCTCCTCTGTGGCTGGACAGTAAAAGAGGGAGCCAATAAGCCCCACTTTCTCTTGGCAGTACAGTACCAGTACAGTACCAGGACAGTACCAGGACAGTACCAGGACAGTACCAGGACAATACCAGGACAGTACCAGGAGAGTACCAGGACAGTACCAGTACAGTACCAGGACAGTACCAGGACAGTACCAGGACAGTACCAGGAGAGTACCAGGACAGTACCAGGACAGTACCAGTACAGTACCAGGACAGTACCAGTACAGTACCAGGACAGTACCAGGAGAGTACCAGGACAGTACCAGTACAGTACCAGGACTGTACCAGGACAGTACCAGTACAGTACCAGGACAGTACCAGGACAGTACCAGGACAGTACCAGGACAGTACAGGAGTGAGCGAGAGAAAGTTCCACGTCATGTACGTGGGATCATATCGTACCTCTTTGGTCTCACATTTGTATTAATTTGAGTCAGTCAGAGTGACTCATGCTAGCTGAGAGGGAGAGGGAGAGAGAGAGAGAGAGAGAGAGAGAGAGAGAGAGAGAGAGAGAGAGAGAGAGAGAGAGAGAGAGAGAGAGAGAGAGAGAGAGGGGTCACAATGAGTCCAATAGAAGCTGCAAGTCAGAGAGAAACAGAAGTGACACTGATTTCTCTGTGAGGAGATGATTGATAGTCTAACAGTGTTAGCCAGTGTATTAGATATCCTTCTCCATCCCTTCTCCTCCCCCACTTCTTTCCCTTCCTTCCCTGCTCCTATATTAATAATCAAAGCTTCTCATCTGTTTCAGTCTCCCTCCTTCCTTCCCTCCCTCCCTTCCACCTTCTCCCTTTTTCCTTCCCTTCTCTTCCCTCGCTCTTTCGCTCCCTCCACCCTTCACGTCTTCCCTGTGTCTCTCTGTCCCGGTCATAGCTTCTCACATGGGCTCCCCAGAAGGCCTTATATAGCTCTAGGACTGTCTTGCCCAGCTCCCCACCCTATTGCCAGTCCAATTCAGTCTCTCTTAGAAATACCTCTGCTCAGACTAATATGGAAGCGCCTTGGAGGTATCGGATGCGGACCCTGTGACAGAGGAGATGAAGAAGTGGGTGGGGGCTGTGTTTTTTTTGGGGGGGAGGGGGGTGGGTAATGAGGGTTCCATTCTCAAAAGCATAACACCGACCGACAGTTATTGGCTGGAAGACGTCTTTGCTACCAGTTTTGCCACCAGTCTGTAATGTCTTGGCAAATGTGGTAAAGGTCTTACCGCATTTAACATGTTAAACATTTTAATTATCAGTGGTCAACCAGATATATAGGTGGAAATGATGAGCAATGGCTAGATAGAAAGTCAGGAGATCTAATGGTCAAGCTGTGGGAGGACAATTGGGCTGTTTGTCATAATGGATAATGGTATGTTGCATAGAAACATGTTCAGGGCCACTATTCAAAAAGCATCTCAGAGCAGGAGTGCTGCTCTAAGATCAGGTCCCTCCTGTCTTATTCATCATCATCTAAAAGGCCAAACTGATTCTAAATCAGTACTCCTACTTTAAGACACTTTGTGAATAAGGGCCCTGAGCTATAGCCTTTGTTGTTCAAAAAGCATTTGTGCTTATTCTGAAGTCTGAACTCTGTCGTCCATTGAAGTTAGATTGTTTGGTACTCTGCCTCTTGACCTGTCACCATCTCTGTGTTCTATGGACTGTCCTGTATAGTGGAATTATTCGGGATTCTATTCACTGTCCTGTGATGTCGTGACTCTGTCCATATACCTTAATATCCATATTCATAATAATAACATAAAATGTTTTATGATGATGTAATGAAATCGTCAAGTAATCCCACTGGGCACACACTGGTTGAATCAACGTTGTTGCCACGTCATTTCAATGAAATTATGTTGAACCAACATGGAATAGATGTTAAATTGAAGTCTGTGCCCAGTGGGATGTCCTTTATTTACTGTCCTTTATTCACTGTCCTTTATTTACTGTCCTTTATTTACCCAGTCTTGTAGTTGTTATGGCCGAAATTCAATCAAAGACGCATTGTCAACAATGCACCTTTTAAAGGCAATTTCCCGACTTTCGTGGAGTTCACATTCACGGGAATTCTGTGGATGTCTGCTCAAGCGTAAATTACCTTGAACAGTCTAGTGCAGTGCTCTTTTCGTCAATGCACCTTTGATTGAATACCGGACTATACGTGAATGTCCCTGTGCTAAAGCATAACTTCTCTCTACAGTTACTCACCAGTCCAGCTGCCCTGACATTCCAGGTATGTTCAGGCCTTCAAACCACCCCTCTACAAAGCTGCTGCCCTACAGCTAAACCCTCAGCAGCTCGCTCTATAGCAGCGTCCCAAATAGCACCCTATTCCCCATGGGCCCTGTTCAAAAGTAGTACACTATGTAGGGAATAGGGTGCTATTTGGGATGCAGACTATGACTGCTTCTCTGTACTGCAGCAGTGAAAGTAATGTTGCAAATAAAGCTCACTGTGGCAGAGAAAGAAATAAGCAAAACAAATTGAAAAGGCTGGTCTAACCCCTTTATCCTTTCTTTCATCCATCCATCCATCCATCCATCCATCCATCCATCCATCCATCCATCCATCCATCCATCCATCCATCCATCCATCCATCCATCCATCCATCCATCCATCCATCCATCCATCCATCCATCCATCCATCCATCCATCCATCCATCCATCCATCCATCCATCCATCCATCCATCCATCCATCCATCCATCCATCCATCCATCCATCCATCCATCCATCCATCCATCCATCCTTTTAACAATTTCATGCAAAACAGAGATGCTGGCCCCAAGGAATTGCTTGGCAAGAGAGCAGTACTTGTCACACTGGCTTTACTGTAAACCAGATTGAGCCACATAATGTTGGCCATCTTGTTTTGGTGGCCATCTTGGTTGGGTGCTATCCCGGGAATGGTCCATGCTATCTGGGATCCTTGGGACGTCCCTACCCCATTGAAGTTGACATTTCAAATAGTTAAGGTAAGGCTTAAGGTTAGGGTTAGGTAAGAGTTATGGTCAGGGTTTAGGGTAAGGACGTCCCAAGGATCCCGGGTAGCACTGTCCAAACCAAAATGGAGCTCAGTGCTGCTGTTATGGCTGAGGTGGAGTTGAGGCTTGGACTGAACCATGACCTGGCTAGGGTGGATGTTGCCTAGCTTGACTGTTTGGGCTGGACATATCACTGGATATTCCTTGATGGATATTGCCTGCTTTTGAATGATACCCATTCTGCATTGAAAGACATTTGTAATTATGTGATTCTTGCATATCCATTGGAGTCCAATGTTTTCTCTACTGATGTTTTGTTCCATATATTGCCATAGATTGGTGGCCTCTGGTGGTTAAAATGAGAACAAAGTGTGTGTGTGTCTGTGTGTGTGTCTGTGTCTGTGTGTGTGTCTGTGTGCTTGTGCGTGTATGCGTGTTGGTGTGTGTCTTTGCAAGTGGGTGTTAGCGAGTGTGCGTATGTAAGTTTACTCTCCCAAAGCGTAATCCCTTCTCCTGTCCACCGGTCCACTGCACCTGTCGTGACCACGTCTCTTCCCGTCGACACACTAGGACCATGTCACACACCCCCCCCCCTTCTCTCTCTGCCCTCTCATTTGCTGGGCTAACTATCCACCAATAGGTGCAGTTTCACACAGATTTAGAAAGTGCAAGGCTTTTGCTTTTAAGGCCTTGAAAGAGGGAGGAAATGCCATGATTGGGGGGTGGGGGTGCTTACGGAGTATGTGGGAAATACATTTTCCATGCAGTCCATTGGACTGCGGTGTGGTCATATGTGTCTAGGACTGGAGTGCTGAGCACCTCATTCCTAAGTGAAGGACGGCAGATCTATAAACATAGAAAACACGTATAAGTTTAGCCAACAGGAACCTATTTCAAGATGAACAGGGGGGGTGTGGGGTTGGGGGGACTGTGTGGGGGCACACACATCTCTATTCCGTTCTAAACCAACCCCCTTTCCCTATAGGCAGTTGTGTAGATTTGAAATGATTGGATAGGTATAAGCAATATGTTGAAAATGTCACCTGGCCTATCAGAGGGCAGGGTTGAGCTATAGCCTATCAGAGGGCAGGGTTGAGCTATAGCCTATCAGAGGGCAGGGTTGAGCTATAGCCTATCAGAGGGCAGGGTTGAGCTAATACCTGTCAGATCCATTCAAGGTTGTTCAAAGAAGTAAGGTCTAGAGATCCAAAAATGTAGCGAAAAATAGATGTTACGATGTTAGGGTCCATGTGCTCTGATACAGCTCCATCTCTTACACGCTTTCTTGCTTTCTTGCTTTCTTTCTTTCGCCTCTCTCTTCTCTGCAGCTTGCAGCCCAGGTTCTTGACGATCTCGATGATGAAGACATTGGATTCGGTCTTGTGGATGAGAAGAAGGACCTCTCTGTCGCCAAGAAGCTGGGTAAGAACTCACTCATCTCTTCACCCCCTTTTCATCATCGATAAAACCTCAGTCCTTCAGTCTGACTTCACATAGAATCCTGATCTCTCTGGCCCTCTTCTGCCCGAGGAGTGGTATCTTTCCTGTTGAAAAAGATTAGAGCAGTGGTTTTCAAACCTCTCCTCGGGACCCCCAGACATTTCACTATTTTGTTGTAACCCTGAACTAACTCAACTGATTCACAGGCAGTGCCTAGTGAAAGTCTTAAAATTAAATGTAAAAAGGGATTGAATTAGATTTTTTTCCTACAGTTCTACACAACCTACTCCACATTTTGAAAGTGAAAGAAAGATTATAGAAAATGTTCTTAATTAATAAAAAATTAAGATGTTAATTGGGTATGCTTTCACACCCCAAAGTTAATACTTGGTGGAAGCACCTTTGGCAGGCAATTACAGCTGTGAATCATTTGAGTAAGATTCTACCAACTTTGCACAACTCTTAAGGCAACAATCTCAGCAAATTTGGTTGGGAATCATTGATGGACAGCAACATTCAAACCTTGTCTCTGATTTCCTGAATGACTGAACCATTCAGAAACACTCAACACATATTGCAAAGCCATTCTTGTGTGTCTTTGGCATTGACATTCAAATTTTGTGTAATTGTCCCGTAGACAAATAAAACTCTATCCCAGGGTTAGGTTTTAGGCAGGTTTTCCTCTAACCGTTTACCTGGGGTTTGCTCCTTTCATTTTTATTTTGATCCTGACAAACTCCCCAGCTCCTGCCAGTGACAAGCATACCCATAACATGATGCTGCCACCATTCAAAATACAAAGGGTTTCACTCTGTGTGGTGTTGTATTGGATTTGACCTGTATTTTTACTGCTCTAATTACGTTGGTAACCAGTTTATAATAGTAATAAGGCACCTCGGGGGTTTGTGTTATATGGCTAATATACCATGGCTAAGGACTGTGTCCTGACTCTCCAAATTGCGTTGTGCGTAACAACAGCCCTTAGCCATGGTATATTGGCCATATAGCACACCCCATTCAGTATCACCCTCAGTACATCATTCAGCCACCAGAGAGCTGTAGCGTTCAACAAACATTCCTCGCTGAGATCTGAGTCTCTAACTTTCAGTTTCTAACTGACTTGCAACTAGAGTAAAGACAGCCATGGCATTTACAGTAGGGCAGATCTCTGGACCTAATCTAGTAGCTGTGTAAGATATCTTTGATATCTTTGTAATACGGAACATATTGTATGGGAAAGGCAGAGTTTTTCCTAACCAGAATAAAATCTAGCCACCAGTTGATGGCCCTAGTTATGGTTAAGAAATGTTATGTTCATGTAACAGTCTAGACACATACAAGCTTCAGTATCACCCTCAGTACATCATTCAGCCACCAGAGAGATGTAGCGTTCAACAAACATTCCTCGCTGAGATCTGAGTCTCTAACTTTCAGTTTCTAACTGACTTGCAGCTCTCTCTATTATAATACCAATCTTATCATTATATTGTACTGTCACTGCCTTGATTTTTATGGTCCCCTAAACCATAACCCCTAATCAGAGTTCTTAACCTATCCCCTAAACCCTAGACCCTAAGTAGAGTTCTTAACCTGTCCCCTAAAGCCTAGACCCTAAGTAGAGTTCCTAACCTGTCCCCTAAAGCCTAGACCCTAAGTAGAGTTCCTAACCTGTCCGCTAAACCCTAGTCCCCAGAGTCTCTAACCTGCCCCATCCCTTCCCTAGCCCCATCCCTTCCCTAGCCCCTAGCCCCATCCCTTCCCTAGCCCCATCCCTTCCCTAGCCCCATCCCTTCCCTAGCCCCTAGCCCCATCCCTTCCCTAGCCCCTAGCCCCATCCCTTCCCTAGCCCCATCCCTTCCCTAGCCCCTAGCCCCATCCCTTCCCTAGCCCCATCCCTTCCCTAGCCCCTAGCCCCATCCCTTCCCTAGCCCCTAGCCCCATCCCTTCCCTAGCCCCATCCCTTCCCTAGCCCCCATCCCTTCCCTAGCCCCATCCCTTCCCTAGCCCCATCCCTTCCCTAGCCCCAGCCCCATCCCTTACCTAGCCCCATCCCTTCCCTAGCCCCATCCCTTCCCTAGCCCCATCCCTTCCCTAGCCCCATCCCTTCCCTAGCCCATCCCTTCCCTAGCCCCCATCCCTTCCCTAGCCCCCATCCCTTCCCTAGCCCCCATCCCTTCCGTAGCCCCATCCCTTCCCTAGCCCCCATCCCTTCCGTAGCCCCCTTCCCTAGCCCCATCACTTCCCTAGCCCCATCCCTTCCCTAGCCCCCATCCCTTCCGTAGCCCCATCCCTTCCCTAGCTCCCATCCCTTCCGTAGCCCCCTTCCCTAGCCCCATCCCTTCCCTAGCCCACATCCCTTCCTTAGCCCTCATCCCTTCCCTACCCCCCCTAGCCCCATCCCTTCCCTAGCCCCATCCCTTCCCTAGCCCGCATCCCTTCCCTAGCCCCCATCCCTTCCATAGCCCCTAGCCCCCATCCCTTCCCTAGCCCCTAGCCCCATCACTTCCCTAGCCCCTAGCCCCATCCCTTCCCTAGCCCCACCCCTTCCCTAGACCCTAGCCCCAACCCTTCCCTAGCCCCAAGCCCCCATCCCTTCCCTAGCCCGTAAACAGCGTCTCTAACCTGTCCTCATCCATCCTCAGGCCTGGATGAGGTGGAGAGCATCTACATCTTTATCGATAATGAAATCATTGAGTACGATGGTGAGCTGGCCGCTGACACCCTGGTAGAGTTCCTCTACGACGTGAGTAACTGTTATAACATTATATAGTAATTTGGTTGTCATGTCACCTCATTTGGGTTACAGTCATTTGGTTGTAACTTTACTTTAGTGTGCTTTTATCACTGTGTAAATATTCTTGAAAGTGTAGTGTACTAATGGGTGATTACATTGTACTTACTAAATATTGTTCAGAAAAGGATAGAAAAAATACGGCCAGTAAAATCTTTCTCTGACATCTCAAATCTTCTCTTCTCCCTCACTCAATCTTTCTGCAGGTGATTGAGGACCCCGTGGAGATCATTGATAATGAGCGTGAGCTCAAGGGCTTCCACAACATTGACGAGGACATCAAGCTGGTTGGCTACTTCAAAAGCGAGAAATCCCCCCGTATGTACAGCCAACAAACTCTGCGGGAAAGACCCGAGAAATCATGACTGAAGATGCTAGCCTGGTTCCAGATCTGTTTGTGCTGTCATGCCAACTGTTAAGGTCATTGTCACTGAATTGGCACAAACATATCTGGGATCAGGCTAATGGGCTGCTAGTCACAACGCCTATTTCTGTGAACCACATGCTGGTTTTCTATGTCTGTATTTTGACAATTTCCTCAATCAAGTATGTCAATGAGAATATCACGTTAGGTTCATGTTATTTTTCTCTTTTACAGACTTCATTGAGTATGACGATGCTGCCGAGGAGTTCCACCCATTCATCAAGTTCTTCGCCACTTTTGACCCCAAGGTAAGGAACCACAGAGGGTAAAATTAGAGTCAGCTATATTCTAAACTCCATTCTGGAATATTTCCATTGTCCCCAATGCAGACCAACTGCCTAATACGCTGTACCATTTTTAGTAGTCTTAACTTGAAAAGATAAGTTACTGCGCTACCTTGAAGTGTTAAGTCAACTCAGGAAATCTAGTTTAGTCCACAAAACATAATATTAGTTACATTGCAAATAACTTAATTCAGAACGTTAACTCATCTTTTTACGTTGAAACAACAGATTTTTGATAATGGATGTTCTTTGTCCATATCCAGATTGCCAAGAAGCTGAATATGAAGTTGAACGAGGTTGACTTCTACGAGCCCTTCATGGAGGAACCAGTGACCATCCCAGGAAAGCCGTACACTGAGGCTGAGCTTGTAGACTACATTGAGGAGCACGACAGGTGAGTTAGGGACTGCAGTACAGTTGACCTACAATGCAAAGCCAGAAGGCCAGAAGGTATGTTCTTTTTCCAAGCCACTGTGATCTTGCTTCTGCCTTTCCTTGCTTGCTCTTTGGGGTCTAGGCCGGGTTACTGTGAATGTACTTTGTGACAACTGCCGATGTAAAAAGGGCTTGATCATCTAAATGTGATAAAATGATATTGTTTTCATTCCAGGCCCACTCTGAGGAAGCTCGAGCCTCACAGCATGTACGAGACCTGGGTAAGATTTATTCGCTCACTATTGAAATGGCTAGAAACCAGAACTGTCCAGTGGGCCTATTTCTCATGGAGATGTACAGTAGGCCTGAGTCTCTTTCTTTCTTTCTTTCTTTCTTTCTTTCTTTCTTTCTTTCTTTCTTTCTTTCTTTCTTTCTTTCTTTCTTTCTTTCTTTCTTTCTTTTTTTCTTTCTTTCTTTCTTTCTTTCTTTCTTTCTTTCTTTCTTTCTTTCTTTCTTTCTTTCTTTCTTTCTTTCAGGAGGATGACATTGATGGAGAGCACATTGTTGCCTTCGCTGAGGAGGATGACCCTGGTATTGTACAGTGCACTAGTCAAAAGCAAAGTTTATATATACTGTATATATTTTCTCTAGGGAAGGGATGGGGGCTAGGTAAGGGATAGGGCTAGGGGCTAGGGAAGGGATGGGGCTAGGGAAGGGATGGGGCTAGGGGCTAGGGAAGGGATGGGGCTAGGGGCTAGGGAAGGGATGGGGGCTAGGGGCTAGGGAAGGGATGGGGCTGGGGCTAGGGAAGGGATGGGGCTAGGGGCTAGGGAAGGGATGGGGCTAGGGGCTAGGGAAGGGATGGGGCTAGGGGCTAGGGAAGGGATGGGGCTAGGTAAGGGATGGGGCTAGGGGCTAGGGAAGGGATGGGGCTAGGGGCTAGGGAAGGGATGGGGGCTAGGGAAGGGATGGGGCTAGGGAAGGGATGGGGGCTAGGGAAGGGATGGGGCTAGGGAAGGGATGGGGCTAGGGGCTAGGTAAGGGATGGGGCTAGGGGCTAGGGAAGGGATGGGGGCTAGGTAAGGGATGGGGCTAGGGGCTAGGGAAGGGATGGGGCTAGGGGCTAGGGAAGGGATGGGGGCTAGGGAAGGGATGGGGCTAGGTAAGGGATGGGGCTAGGGGCTAGGGAAGGGATGGGGCTAGGGAAGGGATGGGGCTGGGGCTAGGTAAGGGATAGGGCTAGGGGCTAGGGAAGGGATGGGGCTAGGGAAGGGATGGGGCTAGGGGCTAGGGAAGGGATGGGGCTAGGGGCTAGGGAAGGGATGGGGGCTAGGGGCTAGGGAAGGGATGGGGGCTAGGGGCTAGGGAAGGGATGGGGCTGGGGCTAGGGAAGGGATGGGGCTAGGGGCTAGGGAAGGGATGGGGCTAGGGGCTAGGGAAGGGATGGGGCTAGGGGCTAGGGAAGGGATGGGGCTAGGTAAGGGATGGGGCTAGGGGCTAGGGAAGGGATGGGGCTAGGGGCTAGGGAAGGGATGGGGACTAGGGAAGGGATGGGGCTAGGGAAGGGATGGGGGCTAGGGAAGGGATGGGGCTAGGGAAGGGATGGGGCTAGGGGCTAGGTAAGGGATGGGGCTAGGGGCTAGGGAAGGGATGGGGGCTAGGTAAGGGATGGGGCTGGGGCTAGGGAAGGGATGGGGCTAGGGGCTAGGGAAGGGATGGGGGCTAGGGAAGGGATGGGGCTAGGGAAGGGATGGGGCTAGGGGCTAGGGAAGGGATGGGGCTAGGGAAGGGATGGGGCTGGGGCTAGGGAAGGGATGGGGCTAGGGGCTAGGGAAGGGATGGGGCAGGTTAGAGACTCTGGGGACTAGGGTTTAGCGGACAGGTTAGGAACTCTACTTAGGGTCTAGGCTTTAGCGGACAGGTTAGGAACTCTACTTAGGGTCTAGGCTTTAGGGGACAGGTTAAGAACTCTACTTAGGGTCTAGGCTTTAGGGGACATGTAGAAGGGTGGGCGTGTAGAAGGGGGTAATAGACTACAGTATCTAACCTTTGACCTTTCCCAGACGGTTTTGAGTTCCTGGAGATCCTGAAGGAGGTGGCCCAGGAAAACACTGACAACCCCGACCTCAGCATCATCTGGATTGACCCCGACGATTTCCCCCTGGTAAGAGCTGGTTGAAGATATGTGAACTGGCTGAACATACTGTGTATGTGTTTGAGACTGACTAAATTGAAGTTGGACTGTGCAGAATCACTGAATCGACCAATCACTTTGTAATCCCAAATAACTACTCATTATGTGATCAAGATAAGCAATTCTGCACCTGTATGTGTATCGACTAGTCTAACAAGTGAATATTAGAAATGTCCAACATTTTAATATTATAATATGTTATCAATATATTTATGTTGAGGTCAATTAAAAAAGGACAGATACACTAAGGACTTGAAAAGCAGAACTTTAAATTCTGATTTCCCAGACTCAGTTTAAGCCTAGTTGTAGACTGAAAAGCACTTTGGAGATATCCAATATAATGTATTATAAAACCCTTCAAACAGCATTTTCTTTTTCTTTTCTCTCTATCTCCCCCTCTCTATCTCCCCTTCTCTCCTTTTAGCTTGTGCCCTACTGGGAGAAGACCTTCGGCATTGACCTCGGTTCCCCTCAGATCGGTGTTGTGGATGTAGAAGATGTAAGTCTGATCTTCCCGCCTACTTTGTCTCTGTCGTCTCCTTTGTATCATCCTCTTCTGTTCATCCATCCATCTTCTCTGAGAACCTCAGGTTTTTGATGGTCTACTCTCATTGTCTTGTATTCAAGCCTCTCTTGAATCTTAGTGTCTTTATGTCTTGTAGGCCAACTCCATCTTGTCTCGTGACAGTCAAATCGAGGTCTTACTGTGTTTGTGTTCCCTCACAGGCCGACAGTGTGTGGATGGAGATGGATGATGATGAGGACATGCCCACTGCTGATGAGCTTGAGGACTGGATCGAGGACGTGCTGTCCGGAAAGATTGACCCAGATGACGATGATGACGATGATGATGACGACGATGATGACGACGAAGATGATGATGACGACGATGATGATGACGAAGATGATGACGACGACGAAGATGATGATGATGACGACGACGACGATGATGATGATGATGATGATGATGATGATGATGATGATGATGATGATGACGACGACGATGACGAGTAAAAGCTTACTTGCCATTCTTGGGTTTTCTCGGCTTTAGCCAACAGTGACCGAAAGCCGGCACCAATCATCAGTTTCCTAACATCTCTTCAAAAACACGTTGTATCCCTTCCTGTTTGCTTCCTGTATCTCTTTCTCAAAGCCATGATCAGAAAGTCTGGTGATACGCCCAAAGGGCAACACCTAAATCAATTTCACTCACAGGAGGATGGTGGCACCTTAATTGGGGAGGACGGGCTCTTGGTAATTGCTGGAGTGGAATAAGTGGAATAGTATCAAATACATCAAACACATGGTTTGATGCCATTCCATTTGCTCCATTCCAGCCATTATTATGAGCCCCTCAGCAGCCTCCACTGATTTCCCTGGGTAAGAAAATACATGGAAGCAGGGGGAAGTTTTTGTCTATGAAAAAAATAATGGGTTGCGGTTCAAATGTAAGATCAGTGTTCCTTATTCAGTATGAAACGTTTGTCTCTCTCTTCATGGGTTTATAACTCTGAGTGTGTGTACGTGAGGACGAAGCTGAGGAAAACTAGTATGTTTGACCTCGTTTTATTTATCTCATTGCACAAGTCAGGGATGCTCCCTTTCCCCTCTCATTTGTCCCATTTTTCTGTACTCTGTAACAACTACATGTTTTCTACTGGTAAAGAGAAGAAACATTGTACTATATTGTACTATATTGTATTATTTTTTAAAGAGAAGGAAACTTAACCTCACTGAAACGTCTTAAGAATAACACAGTTTGGAAAAGTGATTATGAAGATCTTGGAATTCACAAAAAGGCAAATAACTTGATTGTTTCTGGTCCGATATAAAAATAAAAAAATAAATGAGAAAAAAACATTTAAAAAATAAATATTGTTGTTTGTCATAATTTCTTCATGAATGTGTGTCTTTGTGTGTGTGTGACATTTTATAAAGTACAGCTACATAATTGTGAAACCTGGTAAAACGAGTACATATGGTGAAGCTTTACACATCAAATATAATATAATTCAAGACTCTTGAGAATAGCATAGAGACAAGACTGAATAATTGGTTATGTGCGAAACTAAAAGGTGCAAAATTCTCACAGGAAAGTAAGTCTGTCTCAGTGGGTATTTTACTGCCTTGATGACAGGAGGCATAAAACACATGATATACAGTGCCTTCAGAAAGTACACCCCTTCACTTTTTCCACATTTTGTTTTGTTACAGCTTGTGTCACTGATCTATCCATAACATCAAAGTAGAATTTTGTTTTTAAGAAATGTTTATAAACTAATTAAAAACAAAAACCTGGAATGTCTTGAGTATTCAAACCCTTTGTTATAGCAAGTCCTAAATAAGTTCAGGATTAAAAATGTAATTAACAAGTCATATAATAAGTTGCATGGACTCATTCTGTGTTCAGTATTAATGGTTAACTTGATTTACCAATGACTACCCCATCTCTGTACCCCACAAATACAATTATCTGTGAGGTCCCACAGTCAAGTAGTACATTTCAAGCACAGATTTAACCACATACACCAGGGAGGTTGTTCAATGCCTCGCAAAGGAGGGCACCGATTGGTAGATAGCAGACTCTGAATATCCTTCCCTTTGAGCATAGGGAAGTTATTCATTACACTTTGGACGGCGCATCAATACACCCAGTCACTACAAAGATACAGGCATCCTTCTTAACTCAGTTGCTGGAGAGGAAGGAAACCGCTCAGGGATTTCACCATGAGGCCAATGGTGACTTTAAAACAGTTACAGAGTTTAATGGCTGTGATAGGAGAAAACTGAGGATGGATAAACAACATTGTACAGTAGTTACTTCACAATACTAACCTAAATCAGTGGTTCTCAAACCTCTCCTCAGGGACCCCCAGACATTTCACAATTTTGTTGTAGCCCTGAACTAGCTCGTTTGATTCACCTAGTCAAGGGCTTGATGATTAGTTGACAATTTGAATCAGGTGTGCTAGCTGTGGAATAGTTCAAATATATGGAACAGCTGGGGGTCCACGAGGAGAGGTTTGAGAACCCCTGCCTTAAATGGCAGATTGATAAGAAGGAAGACTGGACAGAATAAGCATATTCCAAAACATGCATTTTATTTGTAAAAAGGCACTAAAGAATAATGCAAAACATTTGGCAAAGAAATTAACTTTTTGTCCTGAATATTGTTAGGTTCTAAATATACAGAGTAAAACTCACGGACTACTAGGAAAAGCTCAAACCAAGTGTATTCACCCACTGGGTCAAACAGCTGCATAAGACAAAGACATTTTTCCACAAGTACATATATTTATTCCCTCCACTGGGCGGAGTCAACTCCTTGCACGTCTAGACAGCCAATACATCTCTGTTGCTAGGCAGGAACTTAAATGGTTCCTCTCATTGGTGTAGTCATGGCCCTGCCTCCTATACAGTGGGGGAAAAAAGTATTTAGTCAGCCACCAATTGTGCAAGTTCTCCCACTTAAAAAGATGAGAGAGGCCTGTAATTTTCATCATAGGTACACGTCAACTATGAAAGACAAAATTAGAAAAAAAAATCCAGAAAATCACATTGTAGGATTTTTTATGAATTTATTTGCAAATTATGGTGGAAAATAAGTATTTGGTCAATAACAAAAGTTTCTCAATACTTTGTTATATACCCTTTGTTGTCAATGACACAGGTCAAACGTTTTCTGTAAGTCTTCACAAGGTTTTCACACACTGTTGCTGGTATTTTGGCCCATTCCTCCATGCAGATCTCCACTAGAGCAGTGATGTTTTGGGGCTGTCGCTGGGCAACACGGACTTTCAACTCCCTCCAAAGATTTTCTATGGGGTTGAGATCTGGAGACTGGCTAGGCCACTCCAGGACCTTGAAATGCTTCTTACGAAGCCACTCCTTCGTTGCCCGGGCGGTGTGTTTGGGATCATTGTCATGCTGAAAGACCCAGCCACGTTTCATCTTCAATTCCCTTGCTGATGGAAGGAGGTTTTCACTCAAAATCTCACGATACATGGCCCCATTCATTCTTTCCTTTACACGGATCAGTCGTCCTGGTCCCTTTGCAGAAAAACAGCCCCAAAGCATGATGTTTCCACCCCCATGCTTCACAGTAGGTATGGTGTACTTTGGATGCAACTCCGAATTCTTCTTGTTCCTCCAAACACGACGGGTTGAGTTTTGACCAAAAAGTTATATTTTGGTTTCATCTGACCATATGACATTCTCCCAATCCTCTTCTGGATCATCCAAATGCACTCTAGCAAACTTCAGACGGGCCTGGACATGTACTAGCTTAAGCAGGGGGACACGTCTGGCACTGCAGGATTTGAGTCCCTGGTGGCGTAGTGTGTTACTGATGGTAGGCTTTGTTACTTTGGTCCCAGCTCTCTGCAGGTCATTCACTAGGTCCCCCCGTGTGGTTCTGGGATTTTTTCTCACCGTTCTTGTGATCATTTTGACCCCACAGGGTGAGATCTTGCGTGGAGCCCCAAATCGAGGGAGATTATTAGTGGTCTTGTATGTCTTCCATTTCCTAATAATTGCTCCCACAGTTGATTTCTTCAAACCAAGCTGCTTACCTATTGCAGATTCAGTCTTCCCAGCCTGGTGCAGGTCTACAATTTTGTTTCTGGTGTCCTTTGACAGCTCTTTGGTCTTGGCCATAGTGGAGTTTGGAGTGTGACTGTTTGAGGTTGTGGACAGGTGTCTTTTATACTGATAACAAGTTCAAACAGGTGCCATTAATACAGGTAACGAGTGGAGGACAGAGAGCCTCTTAAAGAAGAAGTTACAGGTCTGTGAGAGCCAGAAATCTTGCTTGTTTGCAGGTGACCAAATACTTATTTTCCACCATAATTTGCAAATAAATTCATAAAAAATCCTACAATGTGATTTTCTGGAATTTTTTTCCTTAATTTGTCTGTCATAGTTGATGTGTACCTATGATGAAAATCACAGGCCTCTCTCATCTTTTTAAGTGGGAGAACTTGCACAATTGGTGGCTGACTAAATACTTTTTTCCCCCACTGTATGTGTATGTCATAGGACTGACCCATGCATTGACGTTTGTTCGCTATACATGTTGAGGGATGCTATTCACAAGGACATATTGTTGTCTCACGATTCCCGAGCATGAAACGGCACAGGGGATGTTCAGTGTGCTGCATGGCTATATTGACAAAAAACAGATTCCATGGGATCAAATGGTTGGCTTTTGCACAGATGGGGCTCCATCTACGGCGGGATGGCAGGCAGGCCTCTGCACTCTAGTTATGAATGTGTCTCCCTCTGCCATATGGACACATTGTATGATACACCGAGAGCAACTGGTGGCAAAAGAGCTGAGCACAGAAACTCAGAGATATACTGTAGCAGGTAACTTAGATTGTAAGCTACATCAAACCACATCCACTGCGCGCACACCTGTTCGCAAAACTATGTGGCGTTATGGGATCAGAGCATGACAATGTTCTATTTCACACCGAGGCTTGGTGGTTATCGAGGGGGAGTGTTGGACATATTTTTCACATTGAGAGAGGAACTGTTTGGTTGACTTGGTTGACTTTCTGTGTAATTAAAATAAAATGACACAATGGTGGTAGGCCTGATCATCAATAATGATGAGATAGCCTATAGGGAGGAGGTCAGCGATGTGGCAGTATGGTGCCAGGACAACCACCTCTACATCAACGTGATGCAGAAAGGAGATGATCGTGGACTACTGGAAAAGGAGGGACAAACACGCCCCCATTCACATCAACAGGGCTGTAGTGGAGCAGGTCGAGAGCTTCAAATTCCTTGGTGTCCTCATCACCAACCAACTGTCATGGTCCAAACACACCAAGACAGTCGTGAAGAGGGCATGACAAAGCCTATTCCCCCTCAGGAGGTTGAAAAGATTTGGCATGGGTCCTCAGATCCTCAAAAAGTTATACAGCTGCACAATCGAGAGCATCCTGACTGGTTGCATCACCGCCTGGTATCGCAACTGCTCGGCCTTCGACCGCAAGGTACTACAGAGG